TGTATGTTGTATACAGCAGATAAAGCATACTCTTGATAATCTGTGCGACGGCCGATGCAGGATGACAATCATGTTTGAAGAAAATGTCACGGTTGTATGTGAGCTGAGATACTGTCAGGGCGCCCAGACTTATGCAGGAGGATAATTACGGTCCTCATCCAAAGCCTTTGGCTCCAAAGCCTGTCCGCAAGGCAGCACAGAGGTGGCAATGATTTAGTTCTAGAGAAATGGACGCCATCCCATTTCAACCCCCCAACCTGGAGGACCAGGAGACTGAGTTTGTCTGGTCTTTACTCATTGACCAACGTGGCAGGAGTAGCTCTCAAGGGGCCCGGAGGCACCATCCAGTATAGCGCAATGGGTCAAGGTGTTAAGCAAACCGCCGCACCATGTTAAGGTCCAGTCTCGTTGAGACGGCACACGACCAGGCGTCGGTCTAGGCGGATAGCGAAACATTGTATTGTCTCTCTACGTAAACCGTTAAGTGTCCATGGCTTCATTCTCGAGCACCTGGTTAGCAGTGCACAACTGATACGAAATGAAGACGGATTCAAAATATTCCATGCGTTATCAAAGCGCAAGCCACGGGACTCATAACACGACTGTTGATCACTGCACTGCAACCTGAGCACTACAGCCGGACATATCCTAGCAGGTAACACTCGTAATGTATGTAATCTCAAGAGTCTAGCAACTAGACACAGAGCCGACATAAAACCATGGAGATCAGCGGATAAAGGACCGTCATCGCATCATAATAATCGTGGCATGGTAGTTGAAGGTCGGCAACACACTTCAGCTAATATGCGGCAAGAAGAATGGAACATTTGGACAAAAATAGAACAAAACATTTTAAGTTTGTCTGTCACACGCAGATTTTGCTCTTTTTTGTCATTTTTGATGTTTGTAGCAATAAACATGTGAACCAATACAATACTGTACACAATTCTTCCACTGATTCCGGTTGCGGGCCATGTCTTCAAGAGTCCAAAGCCATTGGCACTCCTCATCTTTGGGTACCCATCCTGGAAGACGTACGGATCCAACAGCGGCTAGATACGACGTCAGCGATTTCATGTGCTGCCGCCAAGTAGAAGGCTGACCACCACGCGGTCGCCTCCAGCCAGGTGCTTGACGAGCGAATAGAGCGCGACGCGGTAGACGCTCAGGTGCCAAGCGTAGGACATGACCGAGCCATCTTAACTGACGCAACAAAACCAGTTTGTTGAAGGAAATACTCGCATTCCCCAAGATGCGACGTCGAACGTCATTACTATTAACTCGATGTTGCCACCAAACACGAGCGATCCTCCTTAAGCAACCGTTATCGAACGCAGAAAGACGACGCATGTCTTCCACGCGAAGCGGCCAGGACTCGCACCCATACCGAGCGAACTGATGCACTGTAAACGCGGCCCTTTAGTGAGAATGAGAATTCACGACGACGTCACAAGTGCCACAGATTGACAAATGCTGATCGAGCTTTAGCGATACGAAGAGAAACTTCTTTGCTAATAGTGTCGTCAGCAGAAACACAGCTCCCAAGGTAGACGAAACTATCTACCTGTTCAACTTGTGCACCTTCGAGAGTGAGCATGGGAGCAGGTGAAAGCCAATCTCTGAGCAGTACTTTACTCTTCGATGGGACGAAGCTCATGCCATACTTAGATACTTCAACTGCCAAACGATCCAGAATGAGTTGCATGCTCTGAGGATCGTCACCAAGTAAGGCAATATCATCAGCATAATCTAAGTCGGTCGCGCGCTCACCCGGTAGAAGCTGAGCCAAAAGGTTGGAAACCTTCTAGGGCATTCGACAGAACGTCTTCGATTGCGAAGTTGAAGAGGAATGGGGACATAGGGCAGCCCCGTCGCACACCGCTATTGACAGCGAATTGCGAGGAAAGATTGCCATAGACCCTCACTCTGCCAGATGTATGAAGGTGAGGTGCTCGTAAGATGGCGGTATATTTCTCTGGCACCCCGTTCTTTAGCAAGCAACGCCATAAAGTAGATCCAGTCAAAAGCGGCACGTTTGTCTAGGAATGCAATGATAGTGGGCCTGTGATAAATGTGGCGATGTTCAAGGAGTTGGCGGAGCGTGAAGATTTGATCCACGCATCCGCGGCCAGGACGGAAACCAGCTTGTTCTTCACGGTAGTATGATTCACGTACTGCGGATAGTCTGCGAAGCAGAATGGATGCCAATAGTTTAGAGGCAACCGAAATAAGACTAATCTCACGATGATTTGCATATGAAGTAAGTGCGCCTTTCTTGAAAATTGGGAAAATAACTGATTCGCCCCAAGAGGAAGGCACTTTCTCTTCATGCCAAATTTTTTGCGAACAGCGCGGTCACTTGGTTAATGATCGCCACACCGCCGTACTTGAATAGCTCCGGAGGAATTCCGTCTAAGCCGGCAGCCTTGAAGCGCTTCAAGCGTCGAATCTCGAGGCAGACTTCCTCTTCGGTGGGTGGATTCAGAGGGACGAGCCAGGGTGGACAACAACGTGTACTGCATGTACTGATGGATGGTGGAGGCCAGTTGAACTGCTAGTGAAAGTGCTCGGCCCAGCGGTCCATACGCCTCTGTTGGTTGGTGATCGGAGACTCATCCACCTCACAAATGACCTCACTGACACCAGGCTTCCTGAGGCCAGTGGACCGAATGGGTTAGAAAAGCCTGCGAGTATTGCCAGAGAGGGCAGCGGTATCCATCTCTAAAGCACGGTCAGACCACCATGTCTCGCGATCCTTGCGTAAGCTTTGCTTGAGCAACCGGTTGGCAGAACGGCGCGGCTCGTTGCAATCTGATTCTGCCGGGATATCTTTGCGGCGTTCGAACAGCTCCAGAGAACGAGCAGAGATCCAAGACTTCAAAGAGCGTCGAGTTAGACCGCAGTATGACTCGTGCAAGCCTACATCTTGTTATCGTGGCAACATCGAATAGTGATCGCGGCCGAAGGTGATCACTGTCACCGCATCGGCCAAAAGTCCTGTGCTTGGTGCGTATTCAGGAGCTCTCTTAATGTCTATCGACAGAACAGATTGACTGGAATATCGATGGACTTTAGTGACACTCCTAGTTTTCGCTGGCCTATCACGTTTGGCTTAGTCTTGCAAGTGTAGTTGCCCGAATTGTGGCGATGTCCAAGTACCTGGTGAAGAGCTAATTTGTGATCAATGCACACGAGTGCATGCACGAGTGTCCGCCGAGTGACCGATTGCGGTCAGAAAAAGTTACGACGGGACAGATTTCGGACGGAAATAATACAGTCAAGGATTTATCTGTTCTCTTGGATTGCAAATCGCCATTCCTACAAATTACTGTCTCTTAATGATTATTCAGGCAGTATTAAGAAAATGTACAGAACCCTTTTGCAGTGCTTCAAAACACCATTTTTAGGTAGGAGACATGTATTGCACAGTAGCTAACAAAAAGGATAAGGGGGAAACAAGGTGATAAACAATGCTAGGCACGGTTTTCGCATCGGTGTAATCCTTTTCTATTAATTCAAAGCTTCCATTTCCCACACAACGATTTCATTCCGATATCGAGCAGAAAACGGATACTCGTAAAAGCCCGCAGAACGTACGCATACTCGTGGCCATAGATCCCGCAACCCCTTTCGTTATGAGCTGCTGCAACATTCGGTATAGCCTTTAATGGCAACAAATGCTTTTGTTTTCCACATACCGATTTAAATTCGGAAGCAAACGAATAGTTGACCGTTCGATGGTCCTATCAAGGTCCCTATCGGGGTAGACACCAGCTCGGCATTCATTTTGGCCAGTACAAGCACAAATTTTGTACCAAGGCTAAACCGAGCGAAGGTGTACTACAGACCGAAGTAATGGATAGCGTCGATAAAAAATTGCTTACTAATGGGTTGCAGTGGACAGAGATTGGCCACTGGATGGGTGTGTCTGAGGATGGGTTCTGTAGCAAACAAATTGACCAGAAAGCAGCGCGCTATCTTCCAGATCGCGTACAAATGCGTTGTGTTGAGCAAATAGATAGAGAATTTCCCTGCTGTGACAAGGAGACAATCAGACTTATTTTCTATAACCAGAAATCACCTCGTGTTAATGGACAATGGAGTTAGTAACGCATTATCAAATGTGAACTTTGAGGGGCGAAGCCTTATTTTTACAGTATCAATTAATCGAGGAAATAGGTCAAGTTCCAGTAAATAGAAAAGTATACAACTATAATCCGGACACCGAAGAACGATGGATTCAGTTACCATGACCCGCGTCTTCAGAATAGAATTAATTAATAATAATTGGGAAGAAGCAGATACAGAGGGGATCATCACTATACATAATTATACACGTTAGCTACAGGTGGAAGAGACCACCACTATTGTGCCGCAATATATAAGAGTATAAGAGGAAAAACACGCAACAGACGCACGCCGGCTGAGTCATCAATAACGGATATACATCGAACCGAAGATCAAACAGCTAGTTATTGTGTTGCAAAAAGTTATATGAAGCCTAATAGATGCTATCATGGTTGGAGGGGGATACTAAGCGGAAGGAACAGGGACAAAAAGATTTAAAACAAAAACGCCACAGAGTCGTATCTTAGTCATGTCAACAAGTGTATCCAGTCAAAAGTGTTCATCGCCTTTCGGACCCCAACCAGGGAGCCAAGAAGCTCTAACTGCGGCCAGCTTCGAAGAATGAACCTTTATTACTCTCGACCAAGTCATCGCTCGGCCACCCCTGCTCTTCTTCCATCCAAACCACCGGCGCGCAAATAATGCACGTCGCGGGAGCCGATGTGCTAGTACGAGCAACAAGTGGCCCAATCATCGGAGCCTGGTGCGGGAAATAACGGTGACAAACAGGATACAAGAAAGGAGTCAAGAAGAATGTGGGGAAAGTAATCAGGACGAAATATTAACAGTCAGATGCAAGAGACTGAATGCAGCAACACCACCGACCGCGAACACAATGGCAATACCATCGATACGACAGTACGTTGGCTTACTATTGATGAGGTGATGCAGGGAATTCCGTGCAACATTCGCGCATGCGACTGCATAATTTCGCGTGTCAATCTCGGTTCCTATGAAACGCCAGCCGTTCTTTTTAGCACCCAGCAATGGGTAAATGCACGAAGCACCGACGCCCACATCCAGTACGACGATCGGCGAACCTGGGGCACAGAAACCTGCGATGTGAAATGCAATCTCATCGCCTTACTTCGAATTAAGTCCTCCAACCACAGAATGTAGTTCAGACGCAAGGGTACTGTGGGGACCAAGCGATCAGAAGGAAACTCCACATCGAGTTCAAAGTCATTCAGTAAAAGTGCTTTTGAAAGGGCAGCCAAATTGGATGGCACTTTGAAATCTAACGTAACTCGGCCGTCTTCATCTGCCTCTGTGACTTCTCTGAAGAAGGAAAACTTTTGCGCAAGTTCTTTGAAACTCGGCTTCTTTCCACGGTAAACATTTCGGGGATGCATATATTTGTTTAGGGCCATAGCAAAAGATGGGGCTGAAACAGAGATGGAACGGTAATTCGATCTCTGCAACTGATGAGCAATAATAGGACGCGTCGAGCACGAATCTTCTAGAACACAAACTGTGTCGTGCTGTCCGTAGTGGATACAGAGACAACACAATAGAGACATATATTTCAAAGCGCAAGAACAAGCAACATTTTAACTGGGTCATATAAACTCAATGAATGGGAATTGGGTGTTGCCCGTCCGAAAACACTGCAATCCACTACGCGTTTCAATCATGTTTGATTTCATCAAGCAGAGATAGCAGGCGTCGAACGCGCGACCACTGGGATGTTATTTGGAACCACTACCCCTTTAGCCACCATGTCACGATGGGCAATGTTTAACACAACGGTTACTGACTGAATGCAGGGTCATTTTGTGGTATTCGTTGTGTGATTGGATGGCGACGCGCAATCTCAATGAGGACCGTGATTTGTATTGAGGCGAACCTTGGCCAATTCGATGTGCCAAACGTTGCCCGTCGTGTACTGGTCGATAAAGAGGTAGTGGCTCCAACTAACATCTCAATGGTCGCGGGTTCGGGGTCTGCTATCTCTGTCTGATGAAATCAAACAAGACTGAAACGCAAGGGGGAGTGCAGTGTTTTCGGACGGGCAACACCAAATTCCCATACGCTTCAGCTATGGTCCTAGTGATCAAATTGGCCAAGGTTCGCTTCAATACAAATCACGGTCCACATTGAGATTGCGCGTCGCAATCCATTCACTCAATGCGGACCTTGAAATGGCCCCTCCCATCTGAACCCAGCGTATTTCGCGTATTCTTGTCAGCCATCTATGTGCAATGGGTGAAAATCTCAAACGGTTGAGAAGGACAGATCAAGAACAGAAACTGATGGTTAGTTGTGACAGCAAAGCTGTTCCACTATACTAAGGCAAAGCAAGCTTGGCTACAAACCCAAGCTGTTCGCATAGGTTAGGCTTCAAACGCTGCATAGCAAAGCCCCAGAAAAACGCAACAACTTGGGATTACGCAGTTTGCCGATGACTAAATGCCTCGCTTGGGTTTTGGTACATGGAGCAGTCAAGACGCTGCGTAACAGAGCTAGTAGATAATGTATTAATGAGATCGAAGTTCCGTGGAATGTTTCGAAATTCGAGTGGATAACCTCTCTGTTCGGCCGATGTATATGCTACTGCAAGTACAGTCAAAATAGTAAAAGAGGAGGTGGTAACAGGAGAAACAGCCCTTTCCTAATTGGATTCCTTCGGCATCTTTTGATTTGGTAGAGCATACGAGCTCAGCTGCATAATACTACCTCTTTATGGCGTGGAGTAAGTGATAGTGAAAACGTCTATCATTTTGTTCCCTTTAAAAGAGTATGAAAAATACTCATTCTTTGGAACTTCAGTCCGATTTTTGGAGCACGAATTTCTCTCCACACCTGGCAATAAATTTGCCATGGTAAGCAATCTCACGCAATGTGGAAGAGACACTATGTAGTTCTTTCTCAATGGTCCTTTCCGTTCAGATACGACGGGCTCTCACAAAAGTGACATGAACTAAGGAGTGCTTGTAGTTCATAGAGCAGTAGCTGTTGAAGTTCAGGTGTTGCCCCGTTTAGCTCGTTTGTGGTAAATTGATCTTAGGATCGAGCCATGGAATCTTCCCTCCAGAGCTACATCCAAGAAATGGAACGTTCCTGATGTTTCACTTCCCATGGTGAAATCGAGCTCAGAATGACATCGGTTAAACGTTTCGAGCATGTGTTCTGTCTGCTGAGCGTCAACCATGTGCCGGGTGTAAAAGTGTGCATCCAGTATGGACTGACAATTTGGTGTTCATTTGATAGGCCATGAAGTTGTCAGCTAAATCAGGGCCAAATGGACTACAGATCGCTACACCCTCAATGTGCCGACAGAGATTTCCATTGAAGCAAAATAGTGTATCTTTCATAAAAATACGATGTAAGTTCTTTAGGCGATGTCTAAAGAGTAGTGGGGATTTGCGTGTCGAAATCCCCTATCAGTTAGGCAGGATCCACAAGTCCGGAAACCCCACTTTATTTGCGTAACTGCCTATGTTGTTTAGCGTCCATATTGAGAGGACATTTGTAAATAGAGAACAGAAACCAAAATACACCATTCGCTTACCCGTTAGACTTCAAATCATGGCAACGAACTCAAACGAGCCAACTCTCGTTAGCTTGGCTAACCATCTTGCCAATTTCTGGTACGGCGCTCCTACCATTGAAAGGATTGGAGTAGAGAAACCTCACTTTTATGCAATTTCGTAAAACCATACATCCGATTAAGTCCGGAACCACAAATCCGGAGTTGTATTATGATATTAGCATCGATCAGTCCGTCTTGGTGCAAACTTCGCAGTTCACGGGTTATCGTCTGTTCGGCATTTTTCGTTTTATCACGGCCTGTCAGGTCCACAGCAAATCGGCTTTCATACCTGAGTACACCTTGCCTTTTCTGCAAGTAATTCTGTCGGCTCATCACAACGACTCTACAATCCTTGTCAAGCCTCAGTATCAGTACATCACCATTGCGACGTAACTCCAGTAAAGAATCAAAATGATCTTTCGTAATTAATCGGCATTTTCAGCCTTCGTAACGTAAAATGGACTGCCTATAGCTACAGTTTTGGCCCTACACAAGCCAAAGGAATTATCTGTTACTGGTGTCAGAATGGAAAGCTGTTCGTACAGATGTTCAAACTGTGTTTCAAGTTCCGTTCGATCGCATTTACTAGGTGAAAGCGAAAAGTAAAAACCAAAAGCCAAACCTTCCAGTTAAGGAGTATTAAGCGGGACTTCGAACAAGTCTGGTACGTAGTTCTCTGGGTTTAGTGGGGTCTGCTCAGTTAGACGCGCGAGAGATATAGAGCTTAATATGTTGCTTTGTTAGCATCCTAGAGTTGAGTTGTAAGTCACGGTCTAGAAGGTCCACTGATCAATTTTGGAACAGCTAATCAATAGTGGACATCATATCCAAACAAAGGACTGCTTTGAAGCACTCTACATTGCGCCGAAAGGACTCAGAAAGCGATGTTGGCCACTGTGGAAGCCATCGCGATCAATAGGCTGTAGCCGGAATTATGCAAACCGAAAATGCTTGTGCAAAGTGTGATTCTCCCATGGCCATAGATCTGGCAGCTGACTGTTGGCTCATCGATCTATGGTGGTGTATTCAAAATTGGCGATGACCGCGGCACATCACAAACTCGACACGGCATAACTATGTTCTGCTAGCAATAACATATTATCCCATCGATTACGCAATTCATAATTGTAATTTCCGGACGAGAAATGTCGAAAAGAAAGTCCTTCGAAACTATCTTTTGATAAAAACGAAGAAGATTGTAAAACATCACGACACACGAGATTTAGTGAACTCAAGACATGTGCCACGCATTTAATCTTGGCATTCATTTGGCCACAACGGTGGATAGAAACCATGGTTTAAGATTTCGTATGGAGTCAAAGTTCGCATATTAACAGACAAATTCTCGCTTCTTAGGGATCTCGAAAATCAGCGCAGGTATTTCGACAATCTTGTGTATTTCCTGCGTGACTCGAAATAAGCGGCTTCACGGACGAGGGAGCAACGTAGTGCACCCAGATTGTACAGCGAACAAAATCTTTCACGTGAGAAACGTTGCCTTAAAAAGGTAATACAACTATTTACTTTCCAGAATTTCAAGTCAACAACAACCAACATTTCAGCGGCATGATCTGAAATCAGGGTATTTCGTGTACTCTCGTCAGCCACTTATATACAGTGGGTGAAAATTCCAAGCGGTCGGGAATGACAGATCGCTACCAGAAGCCGATGGTTAGTTGTGCGAGCGAAGCTGTCACGTCCTACAAAAGAGAAGCAAGGTTGGCCACAAACTTCAGTTGTTTACACAGGTTAGGCTTCAAACGCCGCATCGCATAAGCTTCAGCAAAGTGCAGCAACTTGGGATTGTTCTGTTTGTTGATCACTGATTACTGGTTAGAAGCAACAAGTGGAGTTTGCTCTGTGTAGTTGCATCGAATACCACTCAGGGACAAAGACCCGTCATGTTGACAAATTTTATGTCGGCAAAGCGTTCGACCAGGAATTTCTTAAATTCCGACACCGACTTTGCTTCAACTATCTGCTACGCTAGGTGGTTTCATACATTCACCAATCTCCGTTCGAAACAGAGTTGGTGAGTAACCCGCTTCAAATCCGGTACGACAAGCTTGTACCGGTGTCCTCGTATGCTGCTTGGTGTGCGCAGATGAAGCAGCGGTCTCAACATGGGGTAATCTCCCAGATGTAATATCCGGTGCGTCATGATGAGGTCAACCCTCATTCGACGATAAGCTAGGGTGTACGGTCCCAGTTTCTTACACCGGTCTTCGTACACCATACCTCGTAAGTTGGGAATCAGCCTGGTGCCTACATGCTGCACTCGCTCAACCTTTTCTACCTCACCCCTTGTGATAGGACAATACGCGGATGAGCCATACTCTATCATCGGTCGTATTATTGAGACGAAGAGGCGAGTGACAATCTCTTCGGACCAAGTGTTGTAGCTGCGTCTGAGTGCCCAAAGCACACGAAGGCTGTTTTGGTAAAGCCTATTCGTGTTGTCCATAAACTTTAGGTCGCAGCGTGAGAGCACACCGAGGTCGCGCACGAAAGGCGCGGGATGCAAACGGTTGACCGGCCACCGTGTATGTTCAACTGTGCTCATACTTACCCAGCCTCATGAATTGCGACTTGCCCGAGTTGACCGGAAGGTTGACCTCTGCAGACCAAGTGCAAAGGCGATCGAGTTCCTGCTGAAGCAGATCACAATCATTGGGTGTGCGGGTTACTCTCCACACCTTCAAGTCATCTGCGAACAACGCACAAGGTGATTGGAGTAGTGGAGGCACATCGTTTACATGGACCAGAAACAAAATAGGCCCCAGTACAGTGCCTTGGAGCATGCCATTGCTCGATGGATACCAGTCGGTTAAATGGTTGTACACATGGACCCTCCAATTTCGATCAACAAGGAAATTCTTGATTCACCGATGCAGCGAGCCGCCAACGCCTCTCACTTTCAGCCTGTCGAGGAGCACTGCATGATTAACATTATCAAATGCCTTACTGAAGTCAATGTAAATGACGTCG